AGTGACATCGGACACGCACAATTACAAAAGTTATGCAAATATATTTGTTTTAAATTAAAATTTTGATAAAAATCATTCACAAAACATTTTGAAAAATAATGTTTGAATGTTTAATGAAAAACGTTTTGTGAATATTTTTTTATAAAGTTTTTTATATTTTTAATAAACATGAAATTAGCTCCTAGATGGAGCCATCAACTGATTATTTATATTTTTTTATTTTAATATTAAATGCTCAACAAGCCTTTTCAGCGGTACACGACAAGAAGCGGCTAGATCTGGCGCCTATTGACCTTTATTAACTTTCACCGCTTCGGACTTGGCAAACGGGGCTCAGAACGGCAGAAGTTGACAGTGGTCAGGCGATGTCGGGTAAACCGCCGGTTAAGTGATCGATGTATACTAGCAATACTAGCATGGCTAAAAGCAGCGAGGCCTGGCAAAGTGGTGTCTGGTAAACTGTCGGTTAAGTTATCAGGAGATGTTAGTTTGGCTGTGACATTCTATGAACACTATGATGGGTGGCCAAAAAGTGGCTGCCTAATTGCTTCCAGCTAACTAGTGTTCAGTCGCACTGTTGCTGTCTCTTCTTTCTTTTGCTGTTGCTGTGTCTGGTTGTGTGTGCATTGTTTATTTAGGCAGTGATCACCACTTCAGTTGTCTGGTGTGCCTGACACTTCGGTAGTGAGCCACTCTCCTTCCTATTCACTCTGTGCATCTGTTCAGTACCACTTGCTGCATTGAAACCATTTCATCTCCTTTTCAATATTCAGATTTCAACGCCTCTTTAGTCGGTGATGTTTTGAAGTAGGGAGCCGGGAGATGATCGCCTAGTCAGACAGTAAACTTGATTGTGTAGCTTCTGGTGGTGCTGGTGGTGGTGGTGATTTCATCTGTTGAACGATGATTTTAATTGGTGGTGATGTCGTTGTCAGTTTTGTTCTGGTGGTGATGATTCCACTGGGTGAAAGTTGGTGCGGTCGTTGTGGCTAGCAGAGGTGACATTCCTGGAAGTGATGTTACTCTCACTGTCAATCGCATTGGGGAGAGGGGATTGCGGTGATGCTGGTGGTGAAATCGTCAGCTGCTTGCTGACTGTGGAGTGAAAACTGCTTTTTTGTCGATTGATTTGTTCAGTTGTTTGGCTGGTTTTCAGTTGTCATTCGCATTCTGCTCACCACCATCAGTGTGCGCATCTCTGAGCGACGGCATTGGCATTGAGGAGATCAAGGCAGCAGCCACTTTGTGTCGACAAATTAGATCCAAGTGGCATACACCATCTGCACATTTTCACAACATCTTCCAGCAAGTCCACCAGAAGCAGTACAGTAAAATGTCGGATCAAGGCAAGTTGTGAACCTTTTTGTGTTGTTGGTGTTGAAAATGATACTTTTGTAAGTATTGATATTATTTATTGCATTTTGGCTACCACCACTATTATCACCTGTCGCTGATGCAGGAAAGAAAGACGCGATGAAGAAGGCGGAGGAGGAAAAACGTCGCAAGGAGAAGGAACAGCAAGAGGCCGAAAAGCGGCACCGTGAGCAACCGAAGAAGCTGGAAGACGAAAAACGTCGTCAGGAGAAAGAAAAGAAAAGGGAATTAGAACTTATAAACATGACTAACCGGGGTAACCGATGAAGTGAATACTAAATTATTTTTAATAAATTGACCAAAACCCTGTTTTTTATAACATTCTTTGCTTTTTTTGTATCTTTTACCTTTTCTCTTTTTCACTGTTAGTTTATTACTTTTTGTCTATTCTCCTCTTTCTTTCTCTTTCCATCATTAGAATAATTCTTAAAACAGCAGTAGTTTTTTTATGTCTTCAAAAATTTGTTAGTCACAGTCTTGATGTTTGCAAGGTCACTTGTTTAATTAATTTTTAATTTTTAAACAAAAACATAAACCCAGTCAAGCTCGCTTTGCTCACTTCTATCTTTACTGTGCACTGCTAACATTTTCTTATAAGTTTGAGCAGCGGTTTATTCTGACGACACTTGGGCACTGTAAACGCTCACCGACTTGTGTTTCGCTCGTTCTGCTCGCAAAACCCGACTTGGTGGACGTTCACAATGCCCAAATTTGGCTAAGCCTTACCGTTTTGGGCTGTGCACTGCTAATTTAGTGTTTGATTTATTAAAAATTAAAATTGTTTACAAAGAAATTTTTATGACAAAAAATGTTTTACAATAATTTGAATGTTTTTAATGCTTTAAGAAGATATTGATCTTGTGTTTTAACATTAAAAGTTTTAAAAAACAAAATGACTATAGTGTTAAAGTTTTAAATTGGTACAAAGTTGACATTATGTTTTTTTGTAAAATCAAAAACACAAAATGTTTAAAACAGCAATTTTCAAGTGCGTTGTGCGATTAGTTGGCGTTGTGAAAGCGGTGAATGTGTATAACTAAAAATGCATTTTCATTATACTTTGCTTTATTTAGGTTTTTTTTGTAAATCAGTCAGTTACTTAAATGTTATACGGATTCGTTTCGCGCCGTTTTTTAACTAAGTAAAGCATATATGCAAAAATGATTGCCAATGTGGAGAGGATAGCCCCAAAAAAGAAAAACCAGAAAACGGGCACTCGAGTGAAGACGGCGGCAAGGAGAAGATAAAGGACGAGTAGTGCACAGTACAGGGCAACAGTGTAAAAGTGACGACGAATGATGCCGATCAGTGCGATGATGCAGATTACTGCTTCAATGCCCGCAAAGATGCGAATGGACACAGAGGCATCATCAGGCAGGGTGATGAACAACTCGACGAATCTTTTGCCACCGATGATGATCATCAAATCGAGAATCAGAGATGTGACATTGGATACAAAAAGAACCGCCCGCAGAATGCGAAATCGGAGACGTTCTTCAAGTGGTTTCGTCATTTTTAATGAGGAGTTGTAGTGAAGGGGTGATTAGATCTGGCTGTTCAGCAATCAACTTGTCAAAACTCAAAAAAGTTTTAGGTAAAATAAAACTTTTTTTCAACTCACAAAAAGTGTATAACTAGTCAGTTGTACTTCAAAGTATTTGCCAACTGAGTTGCAATGATTGGTGACTGCTAAAACTCAGTGAAAAAACTGTGCCAGTAGTACTTGCCAAATAATGTGGGTGCAAAATTTGAATGTCGTAGTAGTAGCAGCAGCAGAATACACACACCACATCTTCAGACACTTTTCTTCAGGTGATGGCGGTGAGGGGACGGGGGGTGAACACCTCTCTTTCTGCTGTTCACTTTTTGCTTGTGCTCATCTGCAAGCGGCACAGTTAAAAGTGAAAGTTATAAGTTTGTGAGCTGTGCAGCTTTTTCCAATTGTCACTGTGTATTTAGGTAACCTCGAAGACTGTGCGAGTTTGACTTAGGAAGGAACACTTCCGAAAAAAGAATGAAAGTGTTTGCCTGTGTTTTCTCTGTGTTTGCCCGCCACATACGACCGGGAAACACTTTTTGCTAGTGGCGCATCAGTGCGTGCAAAGATGCGTTGGTGTTGCCAGTTCGACTTGCCTGCCTGCGGGGAAAAAGATGGTAGCTGTTGCAGAGTCTGCAGCAAAGAGAAAAAGAAGAGGATGAAAACCACTCGATATTTTTTGCTGTTTTCTAAGCATTAACACTAAAGAAAGTGAAAGTTTGAAAAGTTTTGTTTTTAAACTATAGCGGAGAGTGCCTAACCAGATTAGAATTTTAATATAAACAAAATAAAGAATGGTTATGCAGAAAAATTTTAAACAAAACATTGAAAAGTTAAATGTTTTTATGTTCAAATTGTTTGTCTACAACAAAATAGTTTGCTAAGTAGGCAATTTGCCAACTTTGTAATGTTACTGTTTGTAACTGTCTATACTGTATCAATTTTAAAACAATGCAACCATTACAAAAAACTGATTAAAATTTATATTCAATTTAAAATGCCGCAAATCGATTTGATGCAGCCAAAAGTTTTGCACACACAAAAGCGGCATTACCATAAATGGAACGGTTTTTTCTTCTTCTTGTTGTGCTAGCATTTATTGAAATGTTTTTCTAAGCAAAAGCAATTGCTTCATTGCCAACTTTACGCTGACTGCACTGCAGATTGACTGCATTTGTCGCCTGTTTCACTACACTTTCCTTCCTGTTAGCGTGTATAAGTCTGTTCCTTCATTCAAAGATTGTAAGGCGTTTTTAAAGAACGACTGATTTATTCTGCAAGCAACGTTTTTTTCAAACTACTTAAACTTTGCGGAAAACAACTCAAAATGTTATTAACATCACGTGAACTCGGCAAAATGCCAATAATAATTTGAAGAAAAGTTGCTTTAAAAACAATGCTGTTGCTGTCACAAAAATATTTTATTTAAATGCAGTGTAAACTAGCGGAATACAAATCATAGTAAAATTCTTAACCAATTCATTGAATGACTTTCAATCAAATATATTTTTGTTAAATTGAAAATATCAAAACATGGTTCAAACAACAGTAGTGCATGTTTTGATATTGATGCTATGAAAATAGTATTGCTTTCATTGGGCCTGTTGTTCTGTGTTAAAATGTAGTATATGAAATAACTTACAATTTTGTGTTATAACATTTTTGCATGCTAATGTATGTACAATGATTGTAGTGTTAAAGTTTTTGAGCAGAAAAAAACCAAATATAAAATCAAAATGTTTTAAAAGTTAATTTTCTTTTGGTTGCTTTTTTGACCGTTTTCTTGTTTTTTTGTTTGATTTGCTGCTACTTGTATTAAATTCAATGTTGTCTGTTTTTGCTTCGCTTTCTTTTTCACTTTCATCTATAGCATGTTGTGTTTTTCCAACTTTCTCTTTCAGTTCAGCAAGTTCAGCTTGCTTTGCTCTTAATTTCAGTTGTTGCCGTCGATGTCGTCGTAGCAAGCAATAGAGAATGAGACGGCAAATGAGCATGATGGTAAATGCAATTGCTGGATACATTTCTGGTAACAAACAAAATTAAAATTTTAAGTTTAACACCTTTAAGTAATCTAAACTTGATTACTTACTTCCAATGTCATCGTCCACCATAATATGAGTGTACACAGCGCCCAAAGTGATGCACATTAGGAAAAGGCTGACATAAAATTTGTAAACGTCAGGCATAAAAGCCAATAACAAGCCGGCAATAATTTCAGTGAAACCGATAACCTGATGGTGTACAAACGATTATTTACAGCTTTTAATTATAATAAAAAGTTATAAACTTACTTTGCGGTAAATACCGGGACTGACTTTCCAGCCCATCTGCTTAAACAGGGGCACAACTTTGGCATATCTGACAAAGCTTCGACGAATCTCTCGATGAATGTCCCGATTCAGTGAAGGCGACAGCTTGATGTAACCGATAAAAAAGAAAAACATGCCCAAAAAGATGGACAGCGATGAAAGTACTATTGCGGCAATCTTAGTCATTTTCGGCTGTTGACAGGTTTAGTGCAATGACACTTCAGTAAAATTTATCAAGGGTATCCACTCAGGTCATTGGATGCTTGCCACACAGACACACACACACACACAGACAGTCAGTCAAACTCAATGTGATTTGCCAGTGTCGATGTTTTGGGTGTGCTCTTTTGTGCCTGTGTGTACGCTAATGACTGTCGGGAAAGCAGTGCACCGGCGAAATGGAACATTCCGGGTGGCGATAACCGAACAAAACGATGGGAACGAAGAAGAGGAGAATGGAAGAAAGAAAAAGAAAGAAAGAACAAGGGAGCGTGCTGGCTAGCCCAAAGAGGGGGGCACGTCTGCTTGGAACACACAATTTTCACTTCCAGCAGTGAGGGGCACCAACGGTCTGCCAGACAGTGAACGAGTGAGCAAGTGACATTACTGTTATTTGCAGCACATTTCAGCTGCTGCGACTCAAACTCTTGTGCCTAGAAGCGAACTGACAGTGTGTGTGTGTGCGTGTGTGTGCGGTCGTAATGCACCACTGAACCTAGTGGATTGATTCCCACTTTGTAGTAAAACTGCTGCACTCTGGAGAAAAGCAGTGCTAAACGACGAACTGATTGCCATCTTGAGAGAGCTTTGCAGTTTGTTTTTTGGTTTTGTTTGTTGCTAGTGCCTTCTAGTAATGCTGGCGATAATGTTGTGCCGGTTTTTGAAAATGGGTGTTTGAGCGTAATGATTTAAGTAAATCCATTTGGCATTTTAAAATAGTTTGAAACTCCTAATGTTTAAATCATTTTGATTCAATGCTTAAAAATTTAACTAGAATTTGTGAAATTATAAATAGTAGTTGGTTACTGTTTTACAAAATATAAATATCTATTTTCAAACTGGCTATTTTCAAAATGTTATTTAAAAAGTAATCTCATTTTTAGTAAACAAAGATGTCAATAAGTATTGCTAAACAGCTCAATACTGTTTATAATAACAGGCAATATGGTTGAGACTGTGCTTACGGCTGTTTGTCACAGCTTTTAGTTCAGTTTTTCCTTTCAAGCAAGTTAAGCAGGAGAGCGGGCGCCATGACAACCACTTGTCATGACACTTTGGTGTCTGTTGATTTACAATCCAGTTGACATTACTGCCGTTTTATGCTATAGTTTGGCAGTTTTGTTTAGTTTCGATCCGCATATGAATTAATTTGATTACAATTTTTCTGGCAATGTGCTAGTAATGAATCTCAATCTTTCTAAAAGCGAACTTAATCTTTTGCTAAGCCAGTTGCAACAACGGCTTGGCGAACTCAGTAAGTATTTGTTTTTGTGTTCATGTTTTGGCACATAAATAAACTTATTTCAAACAGACACAAATGGCATTGATCAAGTTATGCCAGTTAAATTGTCCAAAAGTACCGGACAAAAGTCAATACAAAGTCAACAAAAATCAACTTCAATGTACAATCTGGATTTAGTTGACAATGTATGTTCGCTTATCAAATAAACGCATGAGTTATAAAATTTGTAATTTGATTACAGAATAATGACAAGTATCCCAATTCTCAATCACATCTTTTTCATAACTCTTCAAAAGTTGCTAATGGAAAAAGTTTGAGCAACCTGATTCACGATGAATCAGAGTTACTTGATCAAAATAAAATTTACCGTCACATTGCCTCAATGTCAAATTCTCCATTAAACACCCAAACCAATTCAGTTTCTTTCAACAACTCAGCCAGAAATGCCAATTTTCAACCTCGTTCATACCGTCGATTTGTACATAATGCTAATCCTAATTTTTCAATTGAGTCGTTTTTAAATAAAAAACAACAAGCGTTAATATATCGAGAGCAACTAGATCGACAAGTTGAGGAAAAACAACAAAAACAGCAACAAAAGTCAATGTTAGAAAAAATAAAAGAGGCAATGCTTGACAAAAAAATAAATGAACAACAAAAACATTTGAAAGAGGAATTTGATGCAGATCACCATTTTGATAAAGATCATCCTAACGATAGAGCAATCATTGAAAGCGACATCATTAAAAATAAAACAGAATCATTACCATTGATTTCAAATGTAAGTTTTTTGAGTTAATGATAAAACATTATAAAAATGTCCAACTATTTATGTTTTTAGACAAAACATGCAACAACTAATCACAAATCATTAAAATCAAACCATCATGAAAACTCTCATAACATGAAATCAGCCCTTTTTGAATCAAAAACGGCAACTTTAACGCACACTAATACTAATAAGTCAAACGATGGAAATCTAAACCATAAAATTCATAACGTGAATTCACCAATAGTCACCTCTCCTGCCTCCAACTGTCGTAACGCATGCACACAAACTGACGATTCGTTGCTGCTAAATTTGATTCACGACTTTATGGCTAGCGAAACAATAAATCGTAGTGCAAAGGCATCCTCTGAGAAAAAAATCGCCAAAACAACGACAAAATCAGTGCCTTCAGTTCAAACAAAAAACTCTTCTCGTCGTTCAAACTTAAACCATTCTAGCAACGGCAAATCAACTGTGTACCGTAAATAATATTTTTTGTGTTGATAAACACAGAAAAAAGTATAAACAAAATTTGTATTTGTTTTCACATTAACATTTAACAAAATTCAAAAAATACAGCAGCAATTAAATACATTAAAAATTAATCTAAAAACTAATAAACATTGTTAAAATTTATCAAAAATATGGGAGTATTGAGTTAATATCAAAAACAAAACTATTATTTGTGTTTTAACATATTTATCACATTGTAGTCGTTATACAAATTTTTGAAAACATTAAAATGTTTTTTGTTTGTGTTAAAATCATTAACAATTGTGTTTTGTTGCATAGCAAATAGCTAAAGCATAACAAATAAATGACATTTTTGCAAAATATTAAATTTTAAACATTTTGTAGTTCAAACTTGACAAAAATCAAAAAGAACTCTATTCAGTCCAACAATAGAGTTGAGCAGTTCGTATTCATTCCAATCTACAAAATCAAACATGACAATATTTGGCCCAAACGATAGTTCATTTTTGTTTTTGCAACCACAGCGATCTTTAACAATTAATTTGTAGAGCAGTGTATTTGCTGGTTGAGTGAGTTTGGTTTCAAGAGAGCCAAAAAAGTTTCGTATGGCATAACTTGAGTTTGGAGTCAGCACGCCTTGAGTGACAAAAAGCTTTCTTTCCGGGCGGCTGAGAATGCTGTTTTTCAAAAACAGGTTAAGTTTGGCAGAATTTCGCGTATTTGCCCATGGATTTGGCAATTGAGATGAGGGCCAAAGTAGACTAGAAAACATTTCTTGAAATGGATGACGATAAAAAACTAACAACTGATTGCCAGTTGACCACAGCGACTGCAAAGAAATTGGCGGCTCATTGAAGAAAACTGCAGTACTGATTATGTGATCACGCAAATATTGAGAAATCATTTCAAACAACCTTTGATGATCTTCAATGCTTTTAAAATTATGCACATGTTGAATATCTACAATTATAATTTCAGTTGGGTTTTGTTTTACGTATGCTCTCATTTGTTTGAGTATCTCCTCTAGTTTTGGTCCGTAAAAGTTGTGGCAAATGTAAAATTGATTGTCTTCAGGTCGAAGTGCAATGCGAATGTCTAAATAACGAATGCCGGCGTTTAATTGCTGGTAAACGTTCAATCGTTGGGTAATTGAATAGCGAGCCACTAGCGGGTAAGTGATAAAGTGGAATGCATTGAGAAACCAAGAGCCTCGAAGATCAGGACGATCGACGGCAAATCCTAGTTTGGGAAACAATTTGTAGGCACCAGAGTCATGAGAACCTTCAAAAAGAAGTTTATCAGTGAGCAGCAAATAGATTTAGTAGTAGTAGTAGTTTACCAGGAATGCAAAGGTTGTACAAGGGTTCTGCTTGTAGAGCACTTGACTTCAATTGTGCCATCCAAGAGCTAAATGCTTCATTTTTGTTTTCAGTTTGAACAGTACTTGAAAAAAATTTTGAAAAATAATGCATTTTGCTTTTTTGAAAAAAATTTTATTCAAAAGTAATCTGTTATAACTGCAAATAAAAACCCAATTAAAAATCAATAACAAAAAGTTTAGACAAATCAAGTACTTACTATTTTTGAAATAGGAAAAGGTCTAATTAAACAAAACTGGCAACGTGATAACACGATAAAATTGACTTGATTGATAGGTACCGATCACAGGTATCGATCATTGGTAACCTTCAACTGGGTTTATGATGAAGTGAAAATCGCTGACTGAATAGCTGTTACATTTGACGCAGTTGTTTTCGTACAACAGTGGCAAACGGCGGCCACTACTACTGCTGCGCCACAGACAATCATAAGGCAAAGTTTGAAAGCGATTTGACGGATGGCGATAATGCGCTCAAGAAACCGTTCCAAACAGGACAGCAATTGCACTTCTCTGTGAATACAGTGTCTGACTTGGCCAATCTATAGTCTCCAGTCATTAGGCAGATAGGCAGACAGTTACAGTTACTTTTGTTTCGAGAAAGCAGCAGCACTTAAACTTGACGTTTTTTTGTTTATGTTTTATTCATTTGCTTACTACTGTGTCGCCTACTGGTGGTCGATAATTGCATTGAGCGGTTTTTTTTGCAGCAGAACAAAGCACACACTGGCAAGTCAGCAGTGAGCAGAGAGCAGAGCAGAGCACACCAGCGTGAGTCACAAAGCGAAAGCAAAACAAGCGGCTCATTTTGGTGTTGAACTGCGACTTGCTTTCTCACCAATCAACACCCAAATATTGCATGCAAAAAAAGGTTTTGGGTACGTCAGTAAGTAAGTTCTTTTCACTTTTCAACTTTTAACTTAATTTGTTTTTCTGTAGATCTTCTCAACAGCTATTTTGCAAGCTTTCTTTTGTAACCGACGATTGTACTTCTCATAAACTGAAAGCTTCAAAAATGAACATCAACGATCTTCCAGACTTGAATCTATGTACCGTCTTCTCGAAGCTTCCACTTCGAGACTTGCTGCGAATCAATCTTGTCT